TGCCGACTTAAAGGCATCCAGTTCTTCCAAGTGACTCTGCGCCATCTCAGGGTTTACGCATGGAAGTCTGGCGCCTTGCTGCTGCCTCTCTGCAACCCCAGTGAGAGACTTGTCGTGCCCCTCACTTAGGAACACTGAGGCAAAGAACTCATTGAGGAGTTCAGCCTTGTCCCCCCTGTCCGTCACCAATTGTTTCTGCCCATTTAGCAGGGGTCCTATTCCTCCCTGGGCCTTCCTTTTTCTCCCTATATATCTAAAAAACAATTTCTTGTTGTCCTTTACGTGGGATGCCATCCTCAGCTCCATGGTAGCTTTGGCCCGTCTAACTGCCTCCCTACAAGCACGAGCAGAGGAGGTATATTCGGCTTTGGTGATCTTTCCTTGTTTCCACTTTTTGTGTGCTCCCCTTTTGGCCCTTAGGCTGCCCTGGATTTCTGCGGTCAGCCAGGGAAGCCTCCTGGCCCCTTTCCCTCTTTTACCCCGCACGGTGATCGTCTTGCTTTGTGCCTGAAGGATCGTTTCCTTAAGTTTATATACTTTATTTCATTGCTTGAGACAGTTTGTGATACAAAGTGCCATATTAAAATACCTCAACAAACTTACTGTAGGATCAGCAGCATAACGGAAGTGGCTGACTGGGGCAGTGGCCACAGGTGCCACTTTTTGTTTGGGGGAGAGGGGTTTCTGGAGGTGTGAAAAAATAGCTGCCACAACAGCTGGCCAGTCCACCACCATCAACACCTTGGTAGTTAATGCTGCCCCAGGTGCAGCTGCTACCCACGACACAGAGCCACCCTGTTAATGCTTCTGTTGAAGATCTTTATGTTTACAATCTTCTGGAATTATCTCTGTTGCTTACAAATCAGTTTTGTAACATACCCTAGAAATTTTGTCTCATCTGAAACAGAACGTGTCCTAAAACATAAAAGCTCTTCTGGAGTTAACACTGTGCATCCTCTAACTCTGTAAGGTGCTTCTATTGGTTACAAATGCTGGATATGTGGCACAGCGGGAGGAGGGGGAGAATAAATGGCAAGTGGTAAGCCAAAAGCATGGCAGTCGCATCCACTGAGAATGATAGGAGCAGCCAACCAGTTGCTCCAGTTTATGGAGAAATTGAAGATGTAGCTGCATTTATAAGAGCTGTGTGAAGCTTTGGTCACTGATTCGATTCGGCCCAATTCGGTGGCTGAATCTCTGAATCGAATCGGAACCGTCTGAATTGATTCAGAGAGATTCGATGATTCGGACATAGACACGGCTTTAAATGATTTTTCTACATACCTCAGGGTACCAGGCAGCTCAAAAACGCTGAGATGGTGGAATATAGCATCCTACAGGAGTGCAGGGGGTCCCCAGCACACTCGGTGGCAGACCCAGAAGTGAACCAGAAGCATTTCCAGACCACTTCCAGGTCCTTGGCGGGGGACCCACCCCCTGGCTCAGTGACTGCTGCCTCCTGGGTCTGGGGAGGCACGTGGGGTCCCCCCACAGTCAATCGCTGGGTGGGGGGGGGGGCCTTTGCACTCTGCAGCAGACCTGGAAATGGTCTGGAAGTACTTTTTATTCACTTCCGGGTCTGCTGCCAAGTGTGCTGGGGACCCCCCATGCTCCTGTGAGACGCTCCATCCGCCCCACCATCTCAGCGTTCATGAGCCGCGCATGGTACCTTGAGGTATGCAGATAAAACATTTAAAACTGTGTCTATGACTGAATCACCAATACTCCGAATCAGCATCAAATCTTCAGATTCTGATTCGGCCGAATCGGATCAGAACAATGATCCAAATCAATTAATCAAATCACTGTCCCCCGAATCGGGCTGAATTCGAATCGAATACGGCCCACTTCACACACCCCTAGCATTTATAATACACTGCATCATCCCTGTCATGCCTGAAGGATCAGGGAAATAAAATAAGCAACTTATTTATAGTAGCCACAGTTCTCAGAAGTCCCATGAACTGTACTAGTACCAGTTGATAATGTGTAAAAGTGATATGTTTCAGTTACTTTTAATCCAATATACTGGGGAGCTGCAAATTGCTGTGTAGCTACATATTAAGTAAAGTAAGAAAAAGAGAAAACCGAATATAAAAATTAGTTGGATTGTATAGAAGGATCAGAAATATATATTGCCTTTGTATCTTCTGAGAATGTGATTCCCTAATTTGTATTTAATTTTTGACAAACTATAAGTTTGTATTTTAATAACTATTTCTTTGTTAATTATCTTAAATGTATATGTATTTACCTTCTCAGAGGTGGTATCACCATAACACCTTTGTCATTTACGTTCTGTTTAGGGAGAATTAATATTTAATGTTATGTTTTGGGTTTTTTTAAATAGATATGGAGTCTGGAGAGCGGTTAACATCATCTGCCTCTTCTACCACAGCGACTTCATCTCCTGCATCTACTACACCTTCTGTCACTTCAGCAGTTTCAAAAAGTAGCCTTTCCACTGGAGCTGCATCGCTTAGCTCTGCAATCAACACATGCGGTAAATATTCTTTGTAGTATGATTTACATGCATGTAGTATCCTTCATGACCTTGTTTGTAAAGTCTGTACTTTCTACATGACCAAGCAAAATGATAGATAAAACTGATGTATCCTATAAAAGCCTTTGTTTAAAAATATATAGAATAAATATGAGGCTAGAGTTGCTTCTATATGCTTCTAATATTAGAAGGTTTTTACCCCCCAAACTTATAAATTTATGTTTTGAAAACTTTAAAGTCCCTCGTTAGCATTGCAGAGACCATCATGAAAGTGTACATGTAATAAACAATAGGGATAGTATGTTTAGGTTTATTTGCAGTAGTATTCAGCTTCACCTTCCTGAATGTACATCTCCTAGTATGAATTAAATACAGCCTCTACCCCAATTCTGCACCTTCTAACAACAATTTGTAAATGCTTTTTGGAAAGGGCTTTGTTTCAACACAGCCTTCTGACATAATCTGAAATTATTCTCACTAAAACATCCAGATGCAACTGGCAGGTCGCATAGGAGAGTTGAACAACCAGAATTCTAATTTGTGTTCTGTCTTGTCTGCATCCACGAATGATCTATGGAGCATGAAAGGGTGGATAAACTAGCTCTTCCCTGAATAGGAAGACCCTGAAGAGCTTGAATGAGGAGACGCTTGTTATCTGTATATGAAAATCTTGCTCTACCTGCAAGTATTTTCTCGCTTCTATCCAAGTTTATGTAACTGCATTGATTGTTAGTTTCAGTAGTGTTAACTGTCCTAATGATGCCTAAGAAATTCAAAGTCCTCCAAATAGAATTTCATGGTTCAAAGCTTGATTTTATAATTCACCATTTTCCAGGCATATTTCCTTTCTGTGGTATTGGCTATATCTTATAGCAGTAGTTTTCAACCTCTTTTAATTTTGAGGATCCCTAAAAAATTTCAAATTAAGTGTACATATTCACATTTTTTTATCTATCATAGTCATTTTTCACAGACCCCTTAGACATCTGCAGACCCCCCAGTTGAAAACCATTGTTTATACTGTTAAGCTGAAGAACTCCTGCACCCCTAATTTAGGATTGGTGCTTTTTTCTCCTTCTCAGACTGACATTACTCGATCGCAGCCTGAGATGCAATGTTTCTAAACAATGTTTATTTTTAATAGCTCAAAAAGAATGCTCTAGATGACTCCTAACTACAAATGTTTGAATAAAAAATACAAGGGCCTTCTTTTCCCACTCTTTACTATGATAGTTCCCTCAAAATATAGATGTCTATGTTCACTTTCATTGCTCCCTTGAATAAAGAGTTAACTTAAATGCGGCACGCCTGAATGCCATGTGCCCCTGGAGGCTGGGGGGTCATGGCAACTGCCCGCAGGTGGCGGCAGCAGTGTTGATGGCGGGGGTGTGGTGGCAGCGAGCAGGGAGGTTCCCACAGGCGGCAGCAAGGGGGAGGAGGTGGCGAGTGGCAAACGACGATCGGCAACCACCCACAGACTTCAGCGGCAGCCAGCGGGAATTGGGGGTTGCTTGCAGACACCACCAACATGGCGGTGAGGGGGATGGTGGCAAGTGATGACTGCTCGCAGACACTGCCAGCAGCGTCAGCAGTGCTTTTTACAGGGGGTGCACTGCCAAGCTCACAGAGTCTACATGCACCCATGTGCACCTCCTACGCGTCACCCATGGTGACATACATCTGTTTATGTCACATTGAGGGTTGACCATTTGTTTAACTTCCCTTGTTTTGTTTGTTTACTAGGTAGAGAGGGATCTTACTGTGTGTCCTGTAATATACTGTGGCTGTGAACAGATGTCTCGTATAAGGAGGTTCTGGCCGTCTCAGGTTTTAACCCAGATCAGAACAGGAGCAGCCCAGGTGTTTATTCAGATAGCCCTTTCAAGCTGCATTGCTATTCCTCTGTCAGTAGGTGGCCAGTGAGAGTACTCAGCCTGACAAGCCTGACCCTGGAATAACTTGCAATGAACTTGAATGACCCACAATTAATTTATAGATGTACCAAGTGTTTTGGGAGTTGGAGGGAATGTTAGCATATTTTATCTTGCATACTTCACAATCAGTTGAAGTACAGTGGACTTGTATGTCTGTAGGATCCCAGGACAAAAGGCTTTCTCCATTAAGAAATATGCCGTCTCTTTACTCCATATATATTCAGAGTAGAATTTTTTCATGGTAAGGAAAAAGTTTGATAAGGAAAGAATTTGATAAGGAAAAATGACAACAGCTTTTTTTAAAGAAGAAAAAAAAATTATACTTGTGTTTAGGATAACAAAGTGTCCAAGTTTTTGTCATCTTTAGGCAATCCAATATTTCTCTCTCCGTTAAGGCAGTATGTACTTTATGTGTAGCTGTAAATGTTTTACAGCCTTCTCATATGATTCCTGACACTCTTATGTGCATCAGTACATTGTTTCCTTCTTGTCTGGCAGCTCATGAGCTGTGTATTGTGGCTTGTTTAAAAGACCATTTTTGTCTCTCACATCCTTTCAATTAAAGCCTTTTTTTCCTAAAGGCACATTGTATTCTTAGAAGCTGGCTGAAACTATTTGGTGTAGGCTTCCCCCACCTTACCCATAAATGCTATTGATATGTATAAGTAATTTATCCATCAGTCAGTCATACTCTATTATGGTTTAACTTTTGGAAGGCCTCTTAGATCCTTAGTTGAAAGTTGCAACTTCCTAGAAAAATGTTGCAAATAAAATTTAGTGTTCTCTCTGAACAGCAGTCGAGAGTTAAATACTTCTAATCACAAAATTAATTAGTATATTTTTGCCACAGCATACATCCAGTTTGAATCATGGTTTAATTTAACATCAATACATTTAATTTTCAAGGTATTCATTACCAAGATAGAGTATAATCATAACCTCCCTTCTCAGTTTCCAACCTTAGATCTTATATGCCCATGTGACTTTTTAAAAATATGTGATGATTGTGGGTTCATCAACCCCAGTGTGTTAATTACGGTATCATCGCTCTAAAAAAATATATACTTCTCCCAGGTCCAATAAAATTGTTCCAGACTTTTCAGTGTAAGCAGTTATTGTTTCCAAGGGTATAAAGTCAAAAACACTTTAATCTCTGCATAGTTAGAGAGGTTCAGGTTTCTTCCAGTTCAGTATAATTATTTCCTTGCTGTAATCAATAGTCTGTTAAGTAGCCTGTAATAAACTTCTGTGCCTGTACCATACAAATCCCCAAGACGCATCCTGAGCCAAAACTGGAATTCTAAACTTGGTGCTAAAGATATTGTATTACAAATAAACTATTTTGGGGTACTCCCAGTCACATAAGGAAAGCATCTATGTGAAAATATATAGGAATAATATCACTACCTCGTGGATGCAATTGAGTTAAAATTCAGTAATACTGAAACAGAAGTTTACAGTGTTGTTTTTTTCTATTATTGAAAGGTGTTCTAGTTAATTAAAATGTTCAGAACAAGAAACTAAAAAGATAAAAGGCCTAACCTAATCTGTCTGTTGGCCAGAAATAATAAATAATAGTTAAAGCAGAGCAAAGTTCTAGAAAGATTTAAAAAATTTACTCTGGTAAAAATACAGCACTTTTTTGCACAAGTCCAGTCTTGCAATCTGTGATTACATGAGTAAATCTTGTCATAATTAAATGATTATAATTTTGTGTGTGGTGCTGTACCAGACCCAAACTTGGTATTTTGATGACATCATGAGTGAAGTAACTTGAGAAAAATCCTAACATGGCCAGATTGCTTTAACCTTCAAAAAAAGAGAAGTTCAGTAACTTCTAATAAAACATCAATTAAAAAAAAGCTCTTTCTTACAACCAAGAGCTTCTGCCAAAACTGGATTCACTAATTCCTTGTAGTCCAGGATTTTTACCTAATTGAATAATTGGAAAATGAGTCCTTTAGCATTGTGAATTTGATGTCTAAACTCAGAGAGGTTTAATTGAAGAATTAGATGATTTCCTATTTACATTTTTAAAGTTATAGTAACAAAGAACTTATTAAGTCTAATACCAAATACTTTTATAACCCTCAGTTTCAGTCCCAAACTATCTTTCATCAGCTTGAGAAAATCACAAATTCTCTGATAACCCTAAAATCCATGATTAAAATGAAAGGTCCCCCCACACCCCACCAGCCCTGCTGGTGCCCCTCACTCCCCCTCCCACAACCTCTCCAGCCCTGCTTGTGCCCCTTGCCCCCCACCCACAGCTCCTGCACCTCCAGCCCTGCTGGAAGGGGCCCCGAGCTGCCAGGCCTATGGGGCAAGGGACCCTTGTCTGCATCCCCCTGCCCCTGGCAGGAGGTGGTGGCTGCTGTAGCGGAGTTGAACCTGGTTCTCCCCCCACTGCCTGCCTGCTCTGGGCTTGGGTTGGGGGGCCAGATCCCCATCATGGCATGCAGTCCCAAGGAGCAGGGGAGACCCATGTCCCTCAGATCTGTGCATGGGATGGGGCCTGTGCACTGCCTACTGCAGGCTCGGGCTCCTCCCCTGCTGTCCTCCCCCGGGACTTCTGCAGCCTAGTGGGTGCGACCCAGTGCTGCAGCACAAAATGGGGCCGTGCAAGAAAGCTGCTTGCCACTGTGAGCTCAACACTGCCCTGGCAGCATGTCCCTTGCAGGTACAGTGGTGTGGAGTTGTGCAGAGGGGACACATCACCAAGGCAGCATGGAGCTTTCAGCAGCAAGCAGCTTCCTGTGCGGCCCTGCTGTTCTTTGCAGTACTGGGTCACACATGCTTGCCCAGTGGGCGGGCAGCCCACCTTACCCCCACCCCATGCACAGATCTGGGGGGATGGGTCCCTTCCTCTGGATATGCATGCAGCAGCAAGGAGCCAGCCTCACCCCCCCTGCTCCCAGATGAGCCACCTGCAGTCCTGCCCTGAGCCCCAAGCCCGAAGCACTGTCAAGCTGGACAGCAGCCCCTGCCCAGCCCAGCTCCCTCCTTCCCTCCCTATGGGAGCCTCAATTCCCATCTTTCCCTCCCTTCACAATGTACCTGTTGGAG